ATCTCGCTAAGTGACCAGCACAAAGGCACACACCAGGCAGAATGAGGTGTGACAAAAGCAGACAATTTCAATCTGTTTCCACAAGAAAAGCAAGGCGGCTCTGAAAGCAGGCAGCTTCATTCATGAACCCGGCCTGATGGGATCAGCAGCTGAGAACTGGGAAGCAGGAGGCAGCACCCCCTGCAGGGGGCGGTGGGGAGCATGTCCCAGCTAGGGGAACCCGGTCGGCAGCCCCTGGAAAATGCCGCATGGGGACTGTGGCACAGCACATTAAGCCACCACTTGGGACGCCTGCATCCCACGTTGGAATGCCTGGCCTGGAATCCCGCCTCTGCCTCCGATCCGCTCCCTGCTAATGCACACCCTGGGAGGTAGCCACTCGCATAGGAGACCTGGATGCAGTTCCTGGCTGCTGGCTTCGGCCTGGCTCAGCCCTGGCTGTTGCATGCATTTAGGGGACGAATCAACATATGGAAGATCTCTCTCTCTCTCTCTCTCTCTCTCTTTCTCTCTCCCCCTCCCTCCCTCCCTCCCTCTCTCTCTCTCTCTCTCTCTCTCTATGTTGCTCTGCCTTTCGAATAAAAACAAACTGAAAAAGAAAAAAACTGAAAGAGAAAGTGGCCCAGTGTTGGTTTGGGCTGAATGAAGAACCTCCAGCCCATAATGAAATTTACAACACCACTCTGATTCAGTACCTTTCCACCAGCCCATTTGATTCCTTTTTAAAGAAATATAAGCACTTGGCCGGTGCCGTGGCTCACTTGGCTAATCCTCTGCCTGCGGCACCGGCACCCTGGGCTCTAGTCCAGGTTGGGGCACCGGGTTCTAGTCCTGGTTACTCCTCTTCCAGGCCAGCTCTCTTCTGTGGCCCGGGGGGTGGGCAGTGGAGGATGGCCCAAGTGCTTGGGCCCCTGCACTTGCATGGGAGACCAGGAGGAAGCACCTGGCTCCTGGCTTCAGATCAGCACAGTGCCGGCTGTGGCAGCCATTGGGGGAGTGAACCAATGGAAGGAAGGCCTTTCTCTCTGTCTCTCTCTCACTGTCTGTAACTCTACCTGTCAAATAAAAAAAGAAGAAGAAGAAATAAAAGCACACATGATAAAATAAAAGCAAGCAGTCAGAAGTGAACACCCCAGTGTGTAATCAAATTTGCCCCACTCAGAATCGGATTGGCTGCTGCCTGGGCAGCCCTGTACCCAGAACGGTGACGCTCATGGGGACGACAACCTGTGCCCATCCGGTACACCTGCCGGAAGTGCATCCCCCCCAGGCTGCAGAGGACCCTGCACTGTCACGAGAGCTCCCAGCACCCCCCACCCCTGCCAGCCACTTCCTGGTTCCATCTTGTCCAGATTAGGCCCTGGGCACTGCCTGTCTCCCCGGGAGGCCCAATAAAGCGTTTCCTCACCAAAGCACCAGTCCTGGGGCTGGACATTCAGAAGCAAAGCACCAGCTCCGGGGTCCTGTACGACACTTGTTGCAGCCCCCCGCCCCCAGGTTCTAAGGCGACAGTGCCGGCCAGCACAGCGTTTCTCGTCGCCTCCTTTCCCTGTCTCTCAGCTGCAGTGGGAGAAGGGAACCCACAGGGGCAGAGCCCTGGGTTCCAGCTGTGCCCATCCCCCATTGTGCAGCAACTGGCCAAGGCTGGTTTCTTCCAAGGGCTCATGGTTTCGGAGGGCTGCCTTGGGCAAGCTCTCCCCTTAGGGCCCGAGCCCTTGAGGGTTTCCGTTGTGTAGAACCTCACTTGGGTTGAAATAGGTTTTTGAAGATTCCCAGGAACATAGGGGGATCCAGGCCTGCTCTTGGGTGCCCTGGACCCTGCTCCCCAGAAACACAGGGCCTAGCTGGACGGGAGGTCCAAATCCTGGAAGAACCTGGAACAACCCGGACCAGGTGGGAGCAGGTGCCGGCCCAGGGCTGAGTTGAACCCTGCCTCCTGTGCTTTGCATCTGGTGTCTCCCGGGCTGTTCTCCAATCACTGAACGAGAGCCTGCATTTGGAAGGTCGCAAAGGTCTTGCCAGGGAAAGCACAGTGTGTACTGGAGGAAGAGGCACAGGCCAGTGTCCCACAGCGCCCAGTGGGTGGGGCTGATGCTGACTCAGCCAGACCAGGGGCCAATCCCTCGCTGAAACCCAGAGCCAGGCCTGCCCACTCTGCTGAGGAATGAATGGTGACCGCTGACCACTGGCCCCTCCCCGGGGCAGGTGAGGTAAGGATGGAGCAGCTGGCTAGGGGAGGTGTGTCTCTCCAAGGCTTTAACTGAACTTCACGGACTGAATATTTCCCCAAAATCCAGAGGTGGAAGCCCAAACGCCAAGTGTGGCTGTGCTTGGAGTAATTCAGACTGAAGGAGGCCATGAGGCAGGATTCTCTCCTTATAAGCAGGAGCGTGGCCGCGCAGGGAAGGCGCTGGTTAAGATGTCCCCTATCAGAGTGCCCGCACCTGGGGCTCCACTCCTGCTGCCTGCTTCCGGCGGTGCAGACCCTGGGAGGCAGCGGTGATGGCTCAGGTAAGTGGGTTATTACCATCCATCCACGTGGGAGATGTGGATCGAGTTCTCCCTTTTGGCACCCGGCCTGGGACCTAACCAGAGGTTGGGAGCTCTGTCTCTGTCCCTCTAAGAAACAAAAGGAAAACGAGAAGAGGAAGGGAGAGATGGCAGGGGGCCCATTCCCTGCCTCGTGCGTGCACGGCGGCGAGGTGACGGCCGCTTCCTGGTCCTCAGGATGAAATCTACCTCGCTGGACCTTAGCTTACACTTCCAGCATTCCCAAATGCGAGAGGACTAACAAAACCTGTTGTTTAAGCCCTGCTCGGTCTGGGGTCGGCACTGTGGTGTAGCAGGTAAACCACTGCCAGCGACGCCGGCATCCCGCGTCCTGGCTGCTGCACTTCTGACCCAACTCCCTACTAAGGGCCTGGGAAATGCAGTGGAGGATGGCCCAAGCAGCTGGGCCCCCGCCACCCACACGGGAGGCCGGGAGGAAGCTCCTGGCTCCTGACTTTGGCCTGGGCCAGCCCTGGCCATTGCAGCCATCTGGGGAGTGGACCAGTGGATGGAAGATCAATCTCTCTCTCTCTGTAACTCTTGACTTTAAATGATAAATAATTAAATCTTAAAGAAAAAAAAAAAGCCCCTAGTCTGGTACCGTCCAGCAGCCTGAGCTCATTAACACTGTGGCAGAGGTCACCAGAGGTCACTTTCATCTGCAGATGCTTCCTGAGCCCAGCAGGCACCGGTCAACCAGCTGGCAGGCTGCTCCGGGCCGGAGCACCCAGAGCCCTGGGCAAGGCTGCACGGCCCCTGCGCCTGCGTTCAGAAGGCCCTCGTGTGCGGCTCCACAGGCTACAGAGCCTGGGAGACGGACAAGGAGCAGAACCTGTTCCTCACGGCTCCGGAGGCGACCACGCAGGATCAGGTGCCGGCAGCTTCGAGAGCCGCCTTGCTGCGTCTCCAGGAAGCAGACAGAGAACCCGCTCGCTATGGCGTGCCCCTGTTCACGACGGGAGCCCACGTGACCTAAACACCCCAACACTGCTGGCACAGGGACAGGTTCCAACATGTGAGCTATGCAGGGAACAGAAACAGGGACACCCCCCTTCCATGCCCCAAGCTTTTGGGGTCCAACTTCCAGGGAGCCGCTGCCCAAGGCGGCAGGGGTGGACAGGATGGGAAGGTCTCCTCCTCCTCTCCTATGGGAGGAGCCTGAAGGGGAAGCCTCCCCCTGCCCCCAGTGCCCCGAGGCCAGGGCCCCAGCTCCGCGGAGGCCCCTGGAAGGACAGGACTGAGGGGACAGGCCCACAGGCAGTGAACCCGGCACTGGCCCGGAGCCCCCAGAGCCGCCCTCCTCACATCCAGTCCTCTAAGTCTTCTGTGCCAGAGCTAGTGCAGGCTGGGGTTCCGGAAGAGCCCGGGACGCAGGCACAATTCACCTGGGGACCACCGTCCGCTCCCTCGCTGCTGCTTCGGGGCCACTGTGCCGGCTGGGGGCAAATCCCAGGTTAGCTTAACGTCGGTGCCTCACTCACCTCACCCTACAGACACTGGCTTTGCAAGGTCCTGGTGAAGGTGATGGCAGAACACATATCCAGGAGGCAGCCTCCCCAGGCGCAGCCACGAACTGACCTCCTGTGTGACGCAGGCCGATCCACTCAGAGCCAAAGACAGGTGTCCAGGCTGATCAGCCCTCCCTCCACCCAGGGCCTGGCCCCAGCTCTTATCTCCTATCGCCAGCTCGCCGCCACCAGCTGACGCAATATTTACCCAGCAGATGTGCGCCCAGCACCTGACCCACGCCAGGGCGCCCGGGACTCACTTGGGGCCACAGGCAGTGGCCGCAGGGGTGCAGCACCAAGGAGAAGGCCCGAGGGGGTCTCCCCCAGCCCCCTCCCCCAGGGCTGAGCGGTGGCTAAGCCTGGGGGAGCTTCGAGTCTTCCTGACTTCCCTCCCACCGGCCCAGGGACAGCAAATCTGACAGGTGTCATTCACCCTCTGAGCCTTCGCTGACTCCTGGCGAACCCCGGCACGGGGAGGACTCGCACTCCACTCGCTAGGAACAGAAAGCTCCCACCAGGCTTTAAACACATTCACGAGAGAAAAGCAGGTGCACACGTGACCGGCGAGGACAGGACAGGGCCTCTGCACCCCCGGCTCTCCATCCGTCGAGGCGGGCGACTCCGGCCTGGCCGCTCCTCCAGGGCGAACCCCGGAATGAACGTAGCACAGCACAGCCCCGGAGCCTCGAGCGCCCCGCCGCTCCCCACGCCGAGCTCGGGCGCGCAGGCTCCGGCACCCGCGGGGGGCCCCGCCCCCGCCCCGCCCCCGGCCGCCACTGGCCAATCAGTCAGGGCCGTGAAAATTTGTCCCCACCCCCAGCCGCCGCTCTCTGCCAATCAGCGAGGGCCACACGACGCCCCTCCCGGCCCGCGCACGCAGCTGTTCGCGAGTCCGGCTCCAAATAAAGTTCTTCGCCGCTTTGAATCTTTTTTTTAAAGCGCCCGCTGCCTTCGCGGCTGTCGCAGGAGAGACCGAGTCCCCGCCCCGCCACTTCCGGTCCCGCCGCCCGGAGCCGGTGCGGCTGTGAGGGGCCGCGTCTCGCCGCCGCCGCCCGGGCCGGGCATGGTGTTGGGCGCCGGGCCCGCCTCGCCTGTCTCCGGGTGCCCAGGTGAGGAGCGGCCGCGCGGCCCCGCGGGGGCCGGGGCCGGCTGCGGGCTCCCTCAGCGCCGGTGCACCGGCGGGCCTGGGCCGGCCGGGAGGGCGCTGACCGCGCCGGGGCCGAGAGGCCCGGCGACGTGAAGGGGCAGGGCCGGGGCCGCGGCCGCGCGAGTGACAGGGGCCGGGGCGCTGGCCTCGCCGGGCGAGCGAGCGGCGGTGGCGACGGCGGGCGGCCGCGCCGGCCACTGGTAGGCGCCGGGCCCGCGCCCAGCGGCACCGGCCCGCGCCCGCCCCACGTCGCGGGGCTGCTGCTGCATCGTGCGGGGCCAAGGTCAGCGGCCGGACGTGGCCGGGACTCCGGGCTGCTGCGGGGGTCGCGCTAGGCCGCGCCCCGGGCGGCGGGGGGGGGGCTGGGCTGGCGAGGGAGGGTGTCTGGCTGCGGAGCCGGAGCCCACCCGGGTTTGCCGGTGCGCGGGCTTGGGTGTGGCCTCCCCCGGCCTGGACTGCTTCCTCGCCTGGGCCCGCCCCTCTCGGTGCCCTCGGCGCGGGGTGCGGGGCTTCAGGAGTTGGAATCCAGGCAGGACTCTGGGCTCCTCGAGGAAGGGTAGGATTGGGTGGTGCAGGAGCCCAGCCCCGGTGTCAGAGGGGACGGAAGCTTCTGGAAGTGCGCAGGGGCGTGTGGAGGAGCTGAGGGGCTGGCCTGCCAGCTGCAGAGGGGGGTGAAGGCCCTGGGGACCCCCACCTGGGTGTACCTGCGGGCCCAGGTCTACTGCTGAGAACCAAGCGGCCGGGCTCCAGCCCCCTGGCCAGGCACTGGCTTCCGGAGAAGAGGAGTAGGGGCAGGACTTGTCCCTGCCCTGAGCGGGGCCCGCTAGGAACGGGGGGTGGGGGGGGCTCTGCTGTGCTTGCACTGGGGCTTCTCCGTGGCAGGAGTTGTCCACGTGGGGGTCCCCGCGGCGGGCCCTGACCGCCCCTGGAGGCCCGGCTTTCCCACAGGTGCAGCTGCGCCGAGTGACCTGAGGCTGGATGTAACCCGGGTCCTCTCCTCGGTGCAGGCTGAGAGCAGGGCCCACGCAGAGGAGCCCGGCTGGGCCGGTTACGAGCCGTGGCGTTTGGAGACAGCTGGTCTGTCCTGCCTGAACTGCCGCCTTAGCGCGAATGGCAGGAAAGGGGAAGTTTGGTTTTAAATTCGGTTTTCAAGAAGTGAGGCGATGGCCAGCGCCGCGGCTCACTAGGCTAATAATCCTCCGCCTTGTGGCGCTGGCACACCGGGTTCTAGTCCCGGTCGGGGCGCTGGATTCTGTCCCGGTTGCCCCTCTTCCAGGCCAGCTCTCTGCTGTGGCCCGGGAGTGCAGTGGAGGATGGCCCAAGTGCTTGGGCCCTGCACCCCATGGGAAACCAGGAGAAGCACCTGTCTCCTGGCTTCGGATCAGCGTGGTGCGCCGGCCGCGGCGGCCATTGGAGGGTGAGCCAACGGCAAAGGAAGACCTTTCTCTCTGTCTCTCTCTCTCTCTCACTGTCCACTCTGCCTGTCAAAAAAAAAAAAAAAGAAGTGAGGCGAACGGAAGGGAAGAGGATCCTGAAGCGGTGTCGGCTGACCTCCTGCCGGTCGGAAGGATTCTTTTGCCCGAATTCTTCTGCGTAGATTCAGTTTCACAGCCGTGGAGATGTTGCCAAGCCACGTCTCTGGTTATCTCTGTGTTGGCTACAGAAGACGGAGAAAAAGGTGGCCCCGATATGCTTTGATTTCGAAGAATTTGGGGAGAGTAAGCTTTGTGTTCCGTGAAAGACAAGGCAGTTGGTGCCCGGTGTGTTCTACGAAGGTCCCTGATGTATTTTTTTTTAAAGATTTTATTTATTTATTTGACAGGTAGAGTTACAGACAGTGAGAGAGAGACAGAGAGGTCTTCCATCCGCTGGTTCACTCCCCAAATGGCCGCAACGGCCGGTGCTGCGCCGATCTGAGGCCAGGAGCCAGGTGCTTCCTCCTGGTCTCCCATGCAAGTGCAGGGGCCTAAGCACCTGGGCCATCCTCCACTGCCCTCCTGGGGCCACAGCAGAGAGCTGGCCTGGAAGAGGAGCAACCAGGACTAGAACCCGGCGCCCATATGGGATGCTGGCGCCTCAGGCAGAAGATTAACCAAGTGAGCCACGGCGCTGGACCCCGGTCCCTGGCGTATTAAAGGCAGCAAGCCAGGATCTGAGCTCAGGGGCGCGTGGGCATCCCCTGCGCACAGGACTTCAGGGTGCGTGGGCAGTGTTGCTGAAATGAGTGGCCACTGTGCTCGGCCCTCTGCAGCTGTTGGCCTAGGTCGTCGGGGAGCTGGTTTGGACCATGCGTGTGGCCCTGGGGTCCTGCCTGCTGGTCTTTAAGCACTTTGTGCCTTTGCCTATCTGTTACTTTTTGCCTTATTTTCAATGCTAAGGTCAGTTAGAGGACAGAAACCTGTTGGTTCTCGTGTGGGGCATCTGGTGCTTCCAGCTGACCCCGGGGGGATGGATGCAGACCTGGGTCCATCCAGAAGTGACCCTAACAAGGTGCTGGAGCCTGGGCACACGGCAGTGGGCTTGGCTGTGGAAGCCAGCACTGCTCTCTGCTTCCAGTCTGCTTAGGGGTTCCTGATAGGTCACTCCAGGCGCTGCCGGGGCGGGGAACTGGGCTGCTGGCTCCAGGAATTTGTGGGCTGAAGCCCCCACAGGTGTCCTGACTCTTCCCCTGTGAAGTGAGTTCATCAGATGCACTGCTGGCTCGCTGGGCCTCGGTGAAGGTGTGTTCACTGTTGGGTCCGTGCCCCTGTGGGGGCCTGCTTGAGCAGGTGGCGTGGTAGAGAGAATGAAGAAACTGGTGTTGTCTTCACAGTTTTGTCAGCTTTACTGAGTTACAGTTGGAGCTACACTAAGCTGCACGTTTGAAACATGAAGTCAGTCGGTCCTGACGTACGTATGCCCTGAAACCATGACCACACTCAAGATAAAAATCACGTCTGTGATTCCCCAGGAGAGAAGCTAGTGTTTCTGTGGTGACTGCTTCTAGCAGCTAAGTGACTTTGGACAGTCCACTTCTGGGGTCCCCGTTGTCCCAGGGTCCACTTGGGAAAATGGAGGGAAGTCAGGGGGAGGAGTGCTTCCCAGATTTGCAATCCTAGGGGCCCGCGAACTCTAGTCTGTAAAGCTCCTTTTGGAACATTTAAATCCGTGCTGCTTGCTTTTTACTTGAAAAGCACAGGGAGAGAGAGAGAGGTCGATCTTCCATCTGCAACAGCCAGATCTGGGCCAGGCCAAAGCCGGGAGCCGGGAACTCCATCCAGGTGTCCCAGGTGGGAGGCCGTCATCCACCGCCGCCCTAGCCGGTAGCAGGAAGGCAGAGTGGCCGAGACTCACGCTGGCGTGGGATGTGCACATGTGAGTAGCAGCTGAACCCTGCACCACGGTGCTCGCTCCTAGAGCAGTGTTTGTTTAGAGCAGGTGGGTGTATCTGTGTTCCCAGCACGGCAGGGGCCATGCACAGTACCGAAGGTCATGTCAGTGTTTTGTTTTCATACACAAATGATAAGTGAAGTCTGACAGTCTAGAGGACTCGGACGTAACACGCTACACAGAAGAGCTGGGTCAAAATGGTTTAAAATACCAACGAGGAGGGGCCGGCACTGTGGCGCAGCAGGTTAATGCCCTGGCCTGAAGCGCTGGCATCCCCTATGGGCGCTGGTTCTAGTCCCAGCTGCTCCTCTTCCCATCCAGCTCTCTGCTGTGGCCAAGATCGCCCAAGTCCTTGGGCCCCTGCACCCACGTGGGAGTCCCAGAAGAAGCTCCTGGCTCCTGGCTTCGGATCGACGCAGCTCTGGCTGTTGCGGCCATCTGGGGAGTGAACCAGCAGATGGAAGATTCTCTCTCTCTCTCTCTACCTCTTTACCTCTCTCTCCCCCTCTCTCTGTAACTGTCTTTCAAATAAATAAATGAATCTAAAATACCAGAGAGGAGAGGGCTGATTTCTTCTGTCGGGCTTCTAGGACCTTGGCCTCCGAGCAGCTCCGTGCTTCCGTCAGGGTGTTCTCTGGGAGAGTGGTGTAGGAAGGAAATGATGCGAACACAATTGTGCAGAAATGTTGAACTGGTAACCAGATTTTGTCTTTAAAACAGGGTTGTAGGGTCCCTCTCTGTGGTAGAGGGGTGAGAGCAGCAGGAATCTCGGGTTCACGGCAGTTCGTTAGGAACAGGGGCAGGCCCTAGTCCAGGTATTGGTAGACTCCGGTGTGCCCTCTGCTGGGGGATATTGGTAGTGGGGACGGTGTGGCGTGTGCATGGGGACTGGCGATATATGGGAGATGGGAGATCTCCGAGCCTTCTCAGCTTTATTGTGAACTTAAAACTTTAAAAAAAAGCCTAAAAATCGGTGGTGTTTCTTTCCCTTGCCCTGAGCAGTCTGGGGGCCCTTGAACACACAGTGGTGTGGGGCGTTCACTGTAACTCAGGCTTGATGTTGACGTCGCCGGCCATGTTAGTCGCCCACACCATGAGCAGACGCGGAGGTGCGGATGGGCTGTCTACGAGGCCTGTGGTGCGGCTTCTCCAGAGGCCGTGGCTCGCTCATCCCCAGCAGGCTGGGCTCTGGGCCACACGCCGGGGGCACAGACCCCCAGGCTGGGAGGGACAGGCTGCAGGGGACAGCGGGAGGCGTGTGCAGCACCAGTGGGGCTCCCCCGACCACGCTCTCCACCAGGGTGCAGGCTGGGGCCTGGCACAGGCGGTGCGCGGTGAATGTGCAGCTCACAGCTCTGCCTTCGTAAACTTTTCATTCCGGCTCTAGAAAGCGATGGCCCACGGCATAGAGTACTCAGATCTTCGTGGAGGAACCCGTTCTTACTAACCAACGCAAAATCCCTCAGCGCGTTAGAGAAGGGAATGAGAATGCAGCGCGGGCGTGTCTTCGCGCCTGGCCTCTGACTCGCCCTGCCCTGCTGTGCTCTGCTCCCAGGGGAAAGGTGGCAGCCATGCTGACGCTGGCCAGCAAGCTGAAGCGGGACGACGGGCTCAGAGGGTCCCGGACGGCAGCCTCGGCGGCGGACTCCACGCGGAGGGTCTCCGTGAGAGACAAGCTGCTCGTGAAAGGTAAACCCTGTCTCTGAGCTGTGCGCTGGAAGCTCTCTGGGACACGAAGCAGGCTGTTGCTGAGCAGAACTTCCTGTTTAAACGGGTTTTCAAATGCGACGTGCTTATCGCTTACGGTAGGGCTTTGTGGGACGCTGATGGCGGGGACTGGCGTTAGGAACTGCAGGAGTCTCACCTTCGCGATGTCCTTTGTTGGGCCTTCCAGCGTGCAGGTGGAAGGCAGGCCCAGGCGTGGCCCGTCTCAGTGCTGTCATCGTCCTCTCCTCCTGCCACTCAGCACCGTGGCTCCCAGTCTGTAAGATGGAGGGAGCTGAACTGGGTGGTCTCTTGGGATCCTTTCCTGTTTACTCTGTCGAAGTGTGAGGCACGCCCTTGGCAAATGAGCTCCCGTCACGGGCACAGCAGTGTCTTGGCGCTGCAGCCGTTTGCACTGTCCCTGCTGGAAAGGAAGCCGACTTTGAGAAGCTTTGCAGACTTGCAGTGCGTGGGGACGCGTGGGGGTGTGACGTGGGTTTGCCTGTGTGTGTGTGACTTTCCCCTTCATTCACTGGGTTTACTGTGTGCAGGTGCAGGGGGGCACTTTGGGCTCATGAAGCCTACAAACTGTAACGAACAGTTGCTGCCTTGAAGGGGTTGTGCTTTGCAGCACTTGTATTTTATGACAGATGTTTACACTTCTTGCAGCTGGAAAGCACTGAGTTGAGTAGTGTGTTCCAACTGCCCGTTTTCACGTGGGGTCAGAGGCAGCATGGGATTCTGGCATTCGTGTGACTGAAGGGCTCTGACGGCAGGAGGCTGGTGTGTGGAAAGTGCACAGGGTTTGGCCTTCCCAGACACACATCACCACCAAGCGGGGACGGAACGGGGACAGGAAAGCACTGGTTTATAGAGACAAGAGCGTGTTCTTCCTTGTTCTTTCCCTTCCTTGTTCTTCCCCTGCTCCGAATCTTAGCTTTGGCTTATCCTTTGAAAAAAAAAAAATAGATTTACTTATTTATTTGAGAGGCAGAGAGAGAGAGGTCTTCTATCCACAGGTTCACTCCCCAGATGGCCACAACGGCCGGAGCTACGCCGATCCAAAGCCAGGAGCCTCCTCTGGGTCTCCCATGTGGGTGCAGGGGCCCAAGGACTTGGGCCATCCTCCACTGCTTTCCCAGGTGATAGCAGAGAGCTGGAGCGGCCGGGACACAAACCAGCGCCCGTGTGGGATGCCGGCATTGCAGGCAGTGGCTTTAACTGCTCTGCCACAGCATCGGCCCCTGGGTTATCCTTTTTATCCTCTTGGCCTTACCCACTGAGTCCAGGGAACACTAGATCATACTCAGTTTGTCACAGCACTGGAAGGTTTACCCTGCTGGGATCAGGGGTGACACGTGGGCCAGAAATGCCCGTGCGTGTTAGGAAGGACTGGAGCCTCCTTTTCCGATCCGGGCATCCAGTGAGCCAAGTGCAGGCTTGGGCGTGCTTCTGCGGTGCCTTTGTGGGGCAGGTTTTACGCCAGGGGTTGCAGTGAGAGCTGGGCCCCCGAGGAGGAGCAGGTAGAAGCTGACAGGTGACCGGGGTGCCCGGGCCCATCTTCCTCAGCCTGTCATGTACGCGGTCATGCAGCTTCTGAGCACTGGCCACCTAGGGCCAGGCCCTTCGCTGGGCACCGTATTCCGTGTGTGCTGCCGTGTGACACACTGCAGCCTGAGGAGTTTGCAGGTAACGGAGACGTATTTCTCACGGGTCTGGAGGCTGTGAAGCCGCGTCTGGGCTCCAGTGGGGTTGGTGTGAGTGAGGGCCGCTCTCCTTCAAGGTGGTGCTTTGTTCTTGCATCCTCCAGGGGGGAGAGCGCCGAGACCGCGGGGCGGAAAGCCCTCAGCCAGTTCTCTCCAGCCTTTGTGGGAGGCACTAATGCATTCGCGAGGGCGGAGCCCTCACGGCCTCATCACTTCCCAAAGGCCTGCCTCCCAGTACCACCAGTGAGGGTTACGCTTTCAGTGGATTTGGACAAATTGAAACCATAGCAGGCCCTTTACCGGGTCATCCCCGTTTGCCTTGCAGAGCCATGCCGAGTGGGTGCTTCACTCTGCAGCTGCAGAGCGGAGACCTGGAGCGGTTAGGGATGTGCCCAGGTTGCAGCTTTAGCGCAGCAGGGTAGCCAGACCCATGCAGCAGGTGGGCTGGGCTCTCCAGCAGATGGAATCGCAAGTCCCCAGAAGCTCATCTCCAGGGTCCTGCTCAGGGGCTCACCTGGGAGCCCTCAGGTGGCTCCAGGACCTGACAGGCTCGGGGACTCACTGGGGCTCTCGAGGCTGGACTCCGTACCAGCTCCGAGGCAGAGGTCTTCGGCTGGGTTGACAGGGCCCAGCTGAGGTTCCTTGGCCTTGTGAGACCCATCGAGGAGTGATGCAGAACCAACCCCTGGCCCCTGTTCCCCTCCTCCCTGGGCTCTGGTGGTTAAGTTCCTAGAGCCCAAAGCATTTGCAGTTAACAGCAGTAGACACAGTGTCCCCCACTCTTGCAACCTGGGCCAGGCTGGGCTGGCCGGGTGGTGAGTAGTTTGGGCCTGGATGGAGGTAGGGTGAGGAAGAGGGTGGGCCTGACCTGGTGGAAGAGGAGGAGGTGTGCTGTGGTGGCTGGTGGCCGCCTGCGCTGCTGTTTGTTCGGCCTGCCCTTTGCAGGCTTGTTGCCCGTGTCTGCGGCAGTGGCCCACAGTGCCCTGGGGATTTGTGCGGTGGAATCGGTGCTGTGGAGGGTGGCAGAGTCCACAGCCGTCGCAGGGCTGGCTGCGCAGCAGGAGGGGTGATGATGGGGAGAATCCTCTCCCAGTGAAACTCCTTTTGGAACCCTGAGAAAAGTAGTGTGTTGGAGGTCAGCAGGACTGGCACGGTGGGGGTTGTCATCCTACTTACTTACAGGGATCAAGAGGGGTCCTAAAGTCTGTGTGTGCGTGAGTGTGCGTGCCTGGGGCTTAATGCCGCAGGCTGGTTCCTGGAAGGGAAGCAGGGCAGGTGTTAAGGGCGCTCAGCGGGATACCTGGAGGGGGGGAGCAGGCTGGGCCGCGGGAGGCTGGAGCTTTGAGGAGCCCCACTCGGCCTCTGCCCTGGAGCAAGCGGCTTTCCTGCTTTGCATCCATCAGCCCTCAGGTGTGGGGGGTCTGGGGTGGGCTCTGAAGGGCTGGTTGCTGAAGGCCATCTGTCCATAGCCCTTGCTGAGAGGGGTCCTGTGTTGCACCTTCATGGGTGATGCCCACAGAGAAGGGCACAGACACTAACAGGCCCACACAGGGGTCTTAACTGGCGCATTGCCTTGCTGACCCGTGATGGACCCTGCACGGCTGAAGTGCTGCCTCCGCAGATATTTCTGAGAAGGTGTGCCCAGCCCTGAAGGGCGGCAGGAGACGAGTCAGCTCTCCCTCCCTGGCTCTGGCCTCCCAGAGGCTCTCGGGCTGTCTGAGTGGCCAGCCGGCCGGGCAAGGTCCGCACACTGGCAGAGGTTCTTCCCCGGGCATGCTGGCCTTTCCTTAGGGCCCCTGGGCTGGCTCCAAGGGTGCCTTCCGGCCTGGAACTGGGGAGATGCTTGGAGCAGCAGTTCTCGGAGCGTGTAGACCAGTCGTGTGTTACTGGCTGCCGTCTGCCCTGACTCCTGGCAGCCAGAGCCCTAAGCAGACTGCCGGGTCTGGCGTTTCCTGTTGGCCCGGACTCTGGCCGGGCCTGGCAGGGCAGTCCTTACCAGGGCTGTCCGTGCTGCTGGTGGGAGTGAGTCAGGCCTGAGTCCACCAAGCTGAGTCTAATGGTGCTCCCCACCCCAGGAGCACCCTACAGGACAGAATTAATCGCTCCCTTGTCCATCTGAAGGGTGGCACTTTTTTCCCGTGACAGCTGAATGCTTGTTTGATTCTCTGTTTTTTCCTGTGTTCACCAGCAAACACTGTCGTTAGTGCCAGGGTATTGTCAGTGGCCCCAGGAGACCTCATGGGGCTCCTGGTGGGCTGGCAGGAACCTTTGCCTCTCTTGGTCTTTGTTCAGGGTGCAGATTTGGAACGGAGCTTGTTCAGGGTCAGGTCTGGAGTTAGGGAAGTAGCCTTTGTCCCCGGCAGTCCCTGGTGGGTGCTGTGTGTCTGCTCCTCAGAGGGAGGGGCCTGGCTGCCCACCATCTGCACTTCAGTGTCTGGGGGAAGTGCCTCCCTCAGTGGGGGCTTCTGTCCAAGGGAACAGTCTGGTTGTCTGTGGGGCCCTTTACCTTTTTATAACAGGCCTGCTGCGTGCCCCCATCCCAGTGCCATCCCTGGTTGTCTGTGGGCCCTTTACCTTTTTATAACAGGCCTACTGCGTACCCCCATCCCAGTGCCATCTCTGGTTGTCTGTGGGGCCCTTTACCTTTTTATAACAGGCCTACTGCGTACCCCCATCCCAGTGCCATCCCTGGTTGTCTGTGGGGCCCTTTACCTTTTTATAGCAGGCCTGCTGCATGCCCCCATCCCAGTGCCATCCCTGGTTGTCTGTGGGCCCTTTACCTTTTTATAACAGGCCTGCTGCGTACCCCCATCCCAGTGCCATCCCTGGTTGTCTGTGGGGCCTTTTACCTTTTTATAACAGGCCTACTGCGTACCCCCATCCCAGTGCCATCCCTGGTTGTCTGTGGGCCCTTTACCTTTTTATAGCAGGCCTGCTGCGTACCCCCACCCCAGTGCCATCCCTGGCAGAAGTGGGGAAGCCATTTGTTCCCCAGAACTGCTCTCTCCTGCCTCCTAGACCCAGAACGCTGGTGCGTGGGCTCAGGGTTTGGCCATCACAGCTGTGGCCGTGTGTGGAGCTGGGGCTATATGCTGTAATGCGTGTTTTAAGAGCCACAGCAGAGGCTGATAAGGAGGTGAGGCAGCTGGCCAGAGGCCGGGGGACTCCATGCCGGTGGAGCTCGTCAGTCCCCGTGCCTGAAAGCTCAGTCAGGACCGGGGAAGGGGGGGACCTGTGGGAGGAGCCCAGTAGGGCGGGGGGGGGGACCTGTGGGAGGAG